ACTATTCTTAGATCGCGCGAGTCAATCTACCGATGCGTCAGACTGCACGCAATCTCGAGATTGTGTTGTGCATTCTACGCTTATTAATAAACGAAGTAATCGATACAACTCACGCAATTTTCCGTTTTTACTCTAGACGAAAGTGTTCTAGACTAATCTAATATGGTACATACAGTAACTAACCTAAACCTTAACCTCTATTTACAATTTCACCGACAGTCAGAGATGATCAGAAAGGCCCAAACATGTACGCTTACAAATCTTTTAGAACCGGGCATTGGTGGCAATCTTATCGAAGCCTCTAGCATCCGCACTAGCTCTAGCTGATACAACCGCCAGCAAACCCTGTAAAACCGGGCGGATTTTTTATTTTGGTAATTGGCATGTGAACAGAATATATGATAAAATTCCTGTGATAAGTGACATTATCACATGGTCATCTTTTTCTTCTCAATTGAATAGCTTTTCATGTGGCTCTAAAACCGGGCTTTTGTCCGGGTTGCGAAATGCTTGCGACGCGACGCACTGCGCCGTGACTGACAGCTGACTGCTGCACAGTCGCAGCAGTAGAAGTGACGATCGCACTATTGATCGCGCAAACTAAATGAGTTTACATATTTTTGCTGTGTGCATGTTGTGTACATAACTGTATGCACTGATTGTTTTACTTCAACGAGGGTGCATTGGTGTTATTATGCATTCGATCTCGTCCACAGCGATGCGGCCAAGGCCAGCTTATGTCGGGTATGTAACCAATGAAAACAATGCTTGCCGACGCGGTTCGAACAGTCCCCGCGTCATAGAAGATAGTAAGTAGAACGATGTGCGACTCACTGCGATCGCGTTGGCGACTGACAAATTTTCCGAGTCGCAAGCAAGTCGCAAGACGCGTCGCTGCAGTCGCAGGGGTGCTTAGGTCGATACTTTCCTCTGCGTCGCGATCGTCGCTGGCGAACTTGCGCAACCAGTTGGGCAGAAATCAGTCGCAAGGCATCGCGTCGCGTCGCAGGCCGACATACAAGCCCGCTTTATACACTTATGGTTTTGATCTATATCGGAATAAAAGTTTAATTACAATGAACAATTATATTACCTCCCTATACTATTTTTTAATCATGCAAATAGTAACTATATTATAACTGCGATTGACTGTTACAGGTAGTGACAGAACATAGGGAATAGACCTTAGGCAATCATTTTATTTTGTAAAGGTTTTTCAACAAATTTGTTGTTATTATAATAAAATCAATCTTACACATGTATTGTAATGTAGTTTAAGAAAATTGGCTGTAGTATCGTGTTCGTTAATCAAATATGTGATAATTCCATATAGTGTTGCAACAAGTTCGTTTACTTTTGGTTGTATATATATATATATATATTTACAATAAAAGAATAACATGTAGCTGACACCTGATACTGATAGCTTGTGTCTGTTTTGTGGGTGCGTTTCATCAGTCTCGAAGCGGTTTAGCTTGTTCTTCAGAAGATTCCTTTCGTGTTAACTTTTCTCTAAGTTTTGATTGTAAAATTGAAATATTTCTGGAACAATTGTCAATTTGTGGTGTTGAATTTAAAATATTAATAATGGTACGTGGTACTTTCTGTGGAATTACTCCCGCGTCCGTCGAGAACCAGCATTTAGACTGGTCCGCGGCTCGACAGTTCCACGCCGGCGTGTAAGTTTAACGCGAGTGAACTGTGAGCGGCGCACCAGTCTAGGACAAGTTGGCGAATGCTACTGTTCATAAGTACCGTGTCACCTAGTCACATTTATTAAAACAATAATTCATAGATTCCATGAGGTTTACAATGGAAAAAATGATTTTGGCCAGGGCCCCTAATACCTAATGAGCCAAATATTGCATAAGTATATTAGAAATTGGGCCGTATTAAAAGTGTGGGAGCGATTCGAAAGAGCAGGTGATCGCTATGGTTAGTCAAGTAAAACACGGATTCCCGCGGTAGTGCTTCCGCGTTCTCGATAGGGCGCTAGCGTCGCTCGGCTGGGGTCAATTTTTATTGGACAATCAGCATTCTAGGTTATCTATCTATTTCCTATGGTTCAACCGATGATCGAGTATAATCGATGAATCGTGACATCACTAGTTTCCAGATTATGGATGTGCGCATGAATTGAGAACACTGTGACATCATTGCGGCAGTTCAGGATCCATGTTTAACAGCAGCTCCCCCTCCTCTTGAGGGTCAAAGGTTATTAGACACTTACTGCTTCGCAACGTCAGTGGAAGCACACTTCCATGGTCCTTTCAATAAAGCATAAAAATGGTAGGTCACCGCTGAAAGAAAAAAAGTTTTCAAATCGCTCGTCAGACCATTCGCTCAGAAAATGTCTAAATTCTGCCGCTGTGTCCCATTGACGCTTGACCTGTGACCTCAATTTCGGCACAGTATGGCTTTCGCTACCATGATGGCTATACACCCGAACTATGCACGAGCCTATAGGTGGGCCGTTTAGATTTGTGCCGCTTCTGCATTTCACTTCGTCAGAAAAAATTATCGCACATTAGTTTTTTACCATTAACTTGTAAACCGT